ATGCCCTAGCCTATCTACCATAAGAATATGAGCGAAATCGAATTTTCGACCCTTGCCGCGAAATTAAGAATTTGTCTGATTTTTACAGGCAGGCACTCTCAACACCTATTAATTCTTCTTTTAGGAAATGAAGAATCTTGCGCTCCCACTGTCTAGCTTGAAGGTCATTTGCTTCCAACGATTAAGCTAAATCATAAAACCTTCTGAAGAGTAATTAGGATTTCCTTTCCGAGTAATTTTCTCCTTGAGGTTGCTGATCAACATTTATCAATCGATATTAACGACTGGATGTTTTATGTCAACATCTGGCTTCCTATCATAGGCAGGGATTTTTAAAATCATTCCAGAATTCAAGGAAGTTAATTCGTCGATGTCTTCTTTCCAGCCGCTGGAAAAACCACTCCCGTGTCCATTCGCGCGAAAATATTATGATATTTAGCCGTAGATTTCTTTCAAACTTTTATTCAGTGCGGTCAGATATACAAAGAACAACAAAGAACATTCTGACATTCCGACTGCGCAAGCCTTATGTTAACCGGCAAAGTCTGACAGGAAGCGAATGAAGGGTCGAAGAACGAGCGAAGAAAGCTAGGGACGAAAGAGTGAAACCAGCCGATATACCTACCACTCGGAAATGGCTACGCCATTTACAGAATAAAAAGTGACTACACCTTTTGCCGGAGTTTTGAAGACATAATTTAGAGAAGTCTATGTAGAACATTTTCCGTTTTTTTTCTCGCTTTCTTTCGGTCCCATGTTTTCTTCAGCTTCCACGTTTGCTATATAGCGAATAGTGCATTAATGTAGCGCCATCAAGACAATTGATTGTTTGACTTTTTCTTTCTTGTTAGACGTAAATGAGTGTGAAAACAACAACGGATACTGCGAGCATACCTGTCAAAACGTTTATGGTAGCTATTGGTGCAAGTGCAATGAAGGCTTCAAAGTAGACAGTAATAGAAAGACGTGCTCAGGTAAAGTCAGAAGCCAGAGCCACAGTACTATTGTTTTCGTGGTTATTATGTTAAGATCTGGTTCTGAAATGAAACCCTTGTACAATAGTTCAACTTCGAGAGACACTGAATAGGTAAACATATGTGATGTCATTTTGACGCGTATGTTTTGTAACGTGTAGGTGCCGTCGTATTTTGGGTTAACTAGGGAACTAGTATAAATACAATTAAAACTCTGGTAAGACCATCGAGAAAAGCGTAATAGTAAACTGCGCGCTCCAGCATTAACGAAGGAAAGTTATGCCATTGCACAATCCATAAATCTGTAAGTTAGTCCACCGGAAATCATTAAACGCGCATCATAAGCATGAAATCACGAAACGTTTCCGAGGTCCAGAAGAAAAACCATACTGTTTGGCGAAAAAATTGTTCCCTACTGTCGAAGTCTTGACTTCGGCTGACAACATAGTGTTAACAATGTCACTGTTTCACGTTTTCAGATATTGATGAATGTAAGTTGGGTCATCATATACATGGCTGTGAGGACTATTGCAACAATACTCGTGGTGGATACTTCTGCTCCTGTAGAAAAGGTTACCAGCTGACGAATAATAACAGGGCTTGCACAGGTAAAATAACTGTCCTCTCCTCTCCCTTCCCCTTAGTAAGGCCTGATGTTGATATTTGCTATACAGGCAATATAAAGATGGCAGTTGGTTTTGAATGAAACTTTGTCAATTCTGAAAACGTCACCCTAACTCTGACATACTCAAAGTATTAGGAACTTAGACTACCAACACCCTCGGACCAATTCACCTCACCTGTCCCCTGGCGCCAAGTTGGCGCATAGGGCCTCGGACCAATACGTTTCCAAAAAGTGGTTTTCAAGCCATTACACAATGGTTTTGCGATTTCGTATAACGCCAGCCATCACCAACTGTGTCAGATGGAGTGGTTACTTCTCTTAAAACCGGGGCATACCATAGACAAAAGAAGGTACCTGGTGATTGTCTCGGTGAATATTAAATTCTCCTCATCTTCGGATTCACTTAGTCAGCTTTAATCGCCGTGGGCGAATAATTGTTAAATAGTTAGTTGTGTGGGAATTTTTTTTCCTTTATAGCACTTCTCAATGTAATGGGTCATTAGCAGTTAGGCAAAAGTACACGCTCAGGTCAGTCGTAGACGTTCAGACATTTGAAAAAAAAAACGGAAGAATTCTGGGAGGGCACCAAGGTAGGAAAAATTGCGATAAAGCTACCAACGCCTTTTTTTCCCAGATATCGACGAGTGTGCTCCCAACAACATAACTGGCAGTAACGAAATGGCTACCCGATCAGCCTGTCACCACATCTGCACAAACGTCGAGGGAAGTTTTCTATGCTCTTGTAGGAATGGATACACGCTGATGTACAACAAAAAACAGTGTAAAGGTGAGTAAAACTATATCTAACGTTTGTTTTCCAGAAGTGATAAAAACCTAACATTTCGTCTTGGAATATCAATACATTGTAATGAGGAGACAAGCCTTGTCTTCGATATTTCAAAAAGACTTTCACGCTTCGTACAAGTCACGAGACATGTCAACAGACCAGAGTGATAAGAGGCGACATCTGAGGGATTCCAAGCGGGTTCAAATAGAATCAACAAATAATTGTGGAAGGAGCGTGGCCCAGAGGCTTTGGGCGCTGGATTTGAAATCTGGACGTCTCTGGTTCAAATCCTACTCCCTACCGTTTTCCGCATTTGTTCTCGATAATCCTCAGTTAACCTCCTCGACCGCGTTATGTAAATTGCCGGTCTTCATGTGACGTCATCAATTTCCAAAATAAAAAATTACCAATCTGACTGAAGTTTTAGTTTCATTAGATATAAGCCCCTCTAAGAAGTTGACGTTTTAGGACGTTTTAAGCTAGACAGGGTCGCTCATTTTGTTGTAGGGGACGTTTGAATTTCCGAGTTCATGCGTTGCGTGACATAAAAATGGTGATCTCGCGTGGGTCAAAAGAGGAATTATCGCTTAAGTTTTTCTAACTGAACAGTTCTTGCACTAAAAGAATTATTACTTTCAATGTGTCGGAACTCTAGAGTAATAATTTTTATTTTCAGTAGCAAAACTCGATAACAAATATTTCTGTTACTTTACGGCCGCCAGTTGTTTTTTTCTTCCAACAAGCTGTATATTTTACATGCAAAAGTTTCACCTTTCTTCGATGTTTTAAGGTATAACAAGGAAATTCTGTCTAAGTTTGACGAAGTTAGGAATTACATTTATGTCTTTATTTTGTTGTACTCAAGTTACTTTTGCTTTAAATGACACATGACCGTAATTTTTATCGTATCCTATGGATAGCTGCCTAATTTTCTTAGCCTCAGTTATGGTTGCGACAGGCAGCCAGCACCATTTTTATAGGCTTCAAGCTATCGCCGGTATTCTTCAGTTTCTTCTTTTTCTTTTTTGGTATAAAGATATGTTGTTGTTGGTTTCCATATCTCCTGCCAAACTCTTGAATGTGCGAAGCTTGACGTACCTGTAGGTCTGTAAAATCCATTTAAATCTACAAACGTGGGACCTGATCTAGGATCGAGTCTATGATAGCTCAAAAGCCCTAACATCAATGTAGAAACGTATAGAATAACATATGTGGGCACCATACACTACGCGCCGTACAGAGCTCCACGACTTGCCAAATATTCGGCGTTTTGATGTAAGAAAAGATAACGGCGGTCGTATCAATACATGAACCTCGCCTTGCCACAAGTCGATCTCATGAGTTTCAGGGTAGAATAGCTAACCGAGCGAGGCGAACTGCGAGGTTTTAGGCCCCGAAGCGGTGTTGTGAAGGTCGCGAAGCGGCCGAGTCGCGAGAGGTCCGGCGGGTAATGAATAAACAAGACGAAGGACTTTTTCTGAAAGTCTAACATGAAGCGTAAACGAATTGAATTGAATGACCACCACTACAGGTCAAATTGTGGATTTTAAATAAGATTTTTCCTCGGTATAGCCGTTGTTTCGGGGAAAATCTACCTTCATTCGGCTTTTTAGATAGTATTGACGGTGAATATTTTCTTTCCATCGATAACCAAATTATTAAAGCCAAATGAGTTAGCGATCCGATGGGACCACCGAATGCCACATTAAAATGCTTTCTTTAAATATATTTTCTAGGGCAAATAATTGTTCCTTACCAGAGGGGTAAAAATCCCACAGCTTCTCTGTAAATCTTTGTCTAAGTTTGTGAGCTTTTTTCATTCCTAGGATGCGGTAACGCGCAATGTATGGTTGGCCATTCGTTTCAAAATTACGACAGGGTATACGCGGGTTTTTCTGCCGCGTATACTAGTTTACATACGTTACGTATGGGCCATAAGCTCATATATACGACCGTTTAGATCGTGTATATACGCATTTTTAAAGGGCCAC